CCCCCCCCCCCCCCGAGCTATACTGCAAGGAAGAGAAACTGTTTCTTTTGCTAGTTTTCAACAAGATTTGCTTACCTTGTCATTGGCATTTTTCAACTGATGTATTCTCCAAGAAGCAAATGTGTGTTAATCGAACACATGTATACCGTACTCAGTTAATGATCGTCGAGATAATGAAATGTTATGATCTTTCCAGACTAAGAGAAGTATGGAATGGCTTATTAAAGATTTATTTCATCCCGAGACTTCTCATGAATATATTCAGTATAAGCCAAAATGTCGGTTGAGGTAATGAACTTTATTTGGCTTACTATTTATCGTTCCCACATACTTAAATACTATTTTTCTTTGGCCATCGTAGCTTGATAAGAAATAACACGCAAACCGTTTATCACCGCAGTTTGCGTGTTATTCCCACATACTTAGTTGTAGTCAGAGGAAAATGTCTCCTAACAACATAATTTATCCGAGTCATTTATACAGCTTTTGGCAGGAAATGTCACAACGCTATTTTTAATTTTTAAAAGGAATGATAAGGCCTGGCCTTCCAACGTAAAAAGATTTCCGGTGTTGTTTTTCGTCGCCCTAAAAGGTAGTACCGGAAATCCTTCTGCGTCCGCGGGAAACAAAGGTGCCGCTCGAAGTTGGGATGCCTGTGGCTCAAGCTTTGATATTTTTATCCAAGCGTACCTTACCAGCGGTGTTGCTTTTCAGAACAGGTTGGAAAAGATGGCGGAAATTGGAGTGATCGTGCGATCGGATCAAGAACAAGAGGTACAGTATGCAGTCCAATACGTTTTAATCCTTCCTTTAAATTTCATCCCTTTGAAAGATGACATGCTTGCCTTGTTGTCTGACACAGGCCATTGCAGTTTTCCTGAGGGAAGTGAATAAAGATCGTGCAGAAAATAGTTTGAGTCCCGTTGGCACTTCGACCGCGTTAATGTTTCTTCTGGCACGAAAATTCAATGCTGAACGAGCGGTAACTCTATACCGACAATATCAGGTGAGGATACTGTAAAAAGGAGAAATTATGTGCGATTTTCTCTACCTTACTGCGTTGCGTAAGTGCAAATGTAATTTTCAGTGCTAGCCAGCTGCGCCAAACAAGCTGCTAAATAAGCTTATGATTTGGTAAAATTCGTCGAATTTTTCCGTGCTGTGAAACATTGTGATAATCTGAGAGCGAGAAAGTCTGAATGCTAAAAGCACCGTTTAACCTTTGAATAGGGTTAATTAGGTGGCGGAGAGCTATAATTTGCTGCACATTGACCAGTGCTGCATGTTCATTTAAATTGCACCGTGATGAAAACTTAAATTTATTTATAAAGGCGCTATAGAGACCTGCGACTATGCTAAATATGTATTTAAAAGAATTTAAATTAGTAAAAAAAACTGTTGGCAACCAATCTACTGGATATATGATCCAGCTTTGTGCTCTTGTGATTTAAATCGATGCGTTACTTTATCTGTTTTTGAGTAATATCGGGACAATATGTTTCTTGTGAATCAAATTTATTGTGGAAGCTCTGGTCTTGAGCGTCATGGTTTTCCTATTCTAGATTGATCGATTTCAGATAATATATTTTACTTTATGTGAAATTCAAGAAAGGAGAACGTTTAGACAAAATATTTGACAGTGATGCTCCAAGAGCTGGTAAGGGCTGGTACTTCCTGTTTGAAGTTGCTGGCACAATATGTACTGCACAAATTTAACGTCAAATTTCAAAGGAATCTAAAAATGAATTGCTGAAAAAAGTGATACCAATATAAAATTAATCACAAAAGTACAAGGACATAAATAGTTAAGATTTGGAAAGGTTGAGACAGATTTCAACAGCTTTTAGGGACAGAAATGTTCAGTACATTTTATGTTACATGTATTTTAAGGACCATTATTTAACATGTGTCACTTGGAATATATAACCATTAAGTTCAGAATGGGAAAGATGCAGAAAACCAGTGAAACTGAAAACTGCAGTTTCAATGATATGGTCCTTTTATAGCTAGGAATCATATGACCTACTTCCAAAAAACAAAATATTTGTTGGGAAGATCAGCAATGTCACAGGTGAGCTGTTAACACAACTTCGCTAACACAGGATTATAAAGGAAGGCTCTAACATTGAGAGGAAGGAGCAGGAGTCTTTCAAAACAGTTTGTGTATGGTGTTTACTTGGCAAAAATTATGACTTGCTGTTGTTGGGCTGTTTACTTTCACAGCCTTCCCGACTTTGCCGTAGGTTGTACTTTATAATCACACTGTTTCCATTGCTTCTTATGAGCTGTAATAATTTATATGAGCTCATAAAGAGCAATGGAAAGAGTACAATAACAGAGATTAGTAATGCTGCTTGTCATTTCTAAAACCACGAAAACTTCAAATGTCAGTGAGATTTCATAGAATGTAATGTTTCCATGATTGCAAAATTTAAAGAACTTTTTTCTGAAAAAAGGCTCCCACAAAGATGTATATGAGAAGGAATATTGTGCACATAGAGAAAAGATCAGGGGATCAAGTGATATTAGAAGGATTATTGTTCTCATGGATCAAAGATCAGGTGTTCAAGGTATATCTCAAAGATGATGTAAGGTTATAGAGATTCAGGAAAAGGAGGTTGAAACTGAAATTAAAATAAAGAAGTTTGCATTTTCTAGGAAGAGTACTCCTTAAAGAATTTTAATTCACTGCAGGACTACATGTGAATAGCATGATGATGGAGTTTGGTTACAAATAGTTTGTAATTATTAATAGTTAGCCAACTGAACATGTCAAAAGAACACCAAATAGGTAGCAACTGATAAACTGAGAAGGTTAATGTGTATCCAAAAAAAGCTCCTTTAGCATGTTGGAGCAGCATGTGATCTCAAGAGGCAAGAGGCACCATAACTAGAACCAGGCAGTAGTTGAAAGTCAGGTTATTGAATGTTTAAAGCCTGGTCAGGCTATTGATTAATGGGATTCTCCCTGACATTTTATAAATTCAGCGATGTTGCTTCTGTTGGGTGTATGTGCAGTACACTTAAACTTGTCTTGAAAAGTAACTTCTGGCTTCATGCCAATTATAAATAGAATAAATATTAAGTTTAAAAATGTGTTATATCTCCTTCAAATAATTAACATTCTATATTTAATTGCATAATACTGTTTATCTTATTTAAACATTTTAATGATGTAGTTGCACCATAAATTCTTACAACTCTGGTAATAGTATTCTGTTAAGTACATGTTCTTGTCAAAATACTTACGGGCTAAATGACTCATGAACAGTGATTATGTATATGTTAAAACATGTCAAAGAGATGTACCAGCCAACAGTTTTCTTGCTCAAAAACAGACCTTGAACTGTTTTATGCAAAGTTCACATGTTAGTCATTAAAATAATTGTTTTGAGAGAACTACATGATTGTACAGCCATGTTGAAAGATATTTCGATTTGCCTTGCACAGTATTTGTACTCAGTTGAGTGGAGCTGGATACACTGTAATATAAAGAATAATTTCTCTTGTGTTACATACACCTTATTTGAAGGGTTAATAACATATAAAATGTGTGGATATTTTGGGAGTTGTGTAGTATTTTTTCAAGCCCCAAAAGGGGTAAGGAAAGACAGAGGCAGTATTGGGCATATTACATGTTAAACCGTCAAATATGGGATTTATTATACATGTACCACCACTATGTCATTTTTAACTTGTTGCAGTGGTGAAGCGATTTCACTCAATCACTCCTTCACTCCTTCACTTCCTGTTAGACATTTGAGCCCCCCAGGGGAATTCCCATATGAGAAGGTCAGGGATGCTCGTTGGAAAATTTGAATTTAACTTCTAAGGGAGACTAATATGGGAGTTCCTCAAGCTTCATTAGACCCTAAAAGATACCAGTTAAAACGGAATAGGTTCGATTACTAGCCACTGTTCAAGAAAGGTTCCCGTGCACACTTGTAGACCCAACTCACATACTCCAGAGATCAGTGGAAATCAAGCTTAAAAAGAGAAATGAAATGAGAGTGTTTCTTGTAAGTATTATTTCTTTGAGTGCACCCTAAAGGATACTTTGACAGCTAAAAATGGTGATGTTTCGTCATCAACACTCTAATCCTTGATTTGTACCTGAGACAACGAGCATCCCTGACCTTTTCATATAGGATTTCCCCTCGGGTTTTGAACATCTGCATCTAAGGTCATTTTACAGTCGCTTGCACCGTGTCAAGTTAGTTCATTCTTTGAATTTCTGACGAAAGTACTCAATATCTTACCACAGACGTGCTCTACATTGAATAAATTTTCGCACAAACATTTTTATAAATAAAAGGTACCTGTAATTATATAAATAGCTCATTTCCCGAAGGTGCCCGCTCATACAGGTTTAACCATATTCGAAAAAGAAGACATTGGAAGTCACAAAATTAACAAGCTGTATGAATTTTTCGAATGATTCAAGCCATGATTAAATGTTTTAGATGATCAACAGTCAACAGAATTGAGGAGAATTCGAACAATCTGTTGCACTGTTTATTTAAACGATGTTGTAAATAAATACACATAAATACGGACATGGTGAAATGAGGAACAAATAGTTGATAAACAGAAGAAAGAACATTACACAAGGCTGGGAGTTCTGCAGTCTTTAATATAGCCTTGGAAAGGGAAAAAAGAGGTTATTACAAGATGGGGTATATGTATTTGGTCACCTATCGAAATACGTACCCAGCTGAACAGGGCTAAAATGAGAAAAGGTAACAAAGAGAGAAAAAAAATCTCTGATATTGGTTGGGAAAATAAAGAACGAAAGAAATTAGAGAAATGAAAACGAAAATTTTCACTTGCTTTGGTGATCAGACAATAAGCAGTACTTTCTGTATAATTGTCTAGGTCTCTCGGAGGAAGATAACTCAGTCTCTTGGACTGATAAATTCATGAATGTTTTCAGCAGTGTTACATCTCCTTGTGTATCCTCTTACTGTTGAGTTTTGCCCTATTTCTTAACAATGCCAGTGGGCTTTAATTTTAACTTAACCTACAGATTAAAACCTCAAGTCACTGTCGTCAAAATGGTCACTGTTTACAGACAATCCATTCTCCAGGTTGAGTGGCTCATAGCCACTTTGATCTAGTTTTGTGTATACATCCTGCAGCATTTAAAAACTAAGGTAGGCAGGTGTGTGTTCTCTTAACCTTATACAGTAAAATGGCATAATAGTGGAATTATATTGGTCATTATTTGATCATTTCATAATATGTTTACAGCTGTTCCTTTATTTTACAGTATGAACGTCATTTGTATTATTTACAAGAAATGGCTCCATATGATGAACCTTTGCGCTCTGAATTACTTGGTGGAAAGTTCACAATCTTGGTGAGTGCCAGGCATTCTCATTTGCAAGAAATCTGCTTTCTGATTATGTATATGTATAAATCTACATCAAATATCTTCCATTGTGCATAAATTAAGCTATTCAGGCTGTGACATTGGGCTAATTAATTTGCATAATGTTAAATTACCATATTCATCCAATAAGTTGCTGCACTGTGGTTGAGTTTTTCGGCTTTTTGATGGGGCATGAATTTAAGGGTGGAATCTATTTGGGGGCAGGGTCTGAAATTGTGACTGACTGGTTGCCCATGCAACCAAAAGTTAAGTGTTGGCGACCAGAATTTTAAAACTGGTCACCAGCAGGTGTCTAGCCTTTTGTCCTCTCGGCATTTGAAATTCAAAGGTAAAAAGGCTTTATCTGAAAGAAAACATAACGCTCCCATGGACAATTGTAGTAAAATGAAGCAAGGATTTTAAGATCACCCTATTTACCCGGTGCCATATTGTTTCAGTGGCTTCTCCCAACACGGATATTGCAGGCAAAAAGTGAGATGGTGAAATTGTGAGGAGTCGTGATGAGATCGAAAGCGTCAGCAGAAACACGTGTGCTTAATCCTTAATACTTTATCTAAATACCAGTAAATTCCAGTTCTGAAATACGAGTTGTGGTGTTGTCTTACTGTGTACTACATGTGTGAAAGATGGCTATCAGCTCTTTGCGATCCTTTCGTGATTTGCTGCTCTCAGGAGATGAAACATCCACTCTGAAATGTTTCAGCGACTTAGATAAATGTTCGATTGTAAAGTCAGATGTAGTAGATTTGGCTAAGCTGCCTTAATTAGGATGACCTTGGAACGAGCTTAATACCAGATAAGATTGTTGCTAAGCCTTTGGCTTATGGAAATCCTGTGGCGCTGAAATCAACTGGAAACGGCAATTGTTTGTATAATTCAGTCTCACTACTCTTTTGTGGTTATGAATCTTGCAGTGAGTGCTTGCATATTCTTTGTAGAAAGGTCAAATTTTGTGCTTTACTATAAACTAACATAAATTATACCTTTAGGGATTGTTTTCTTTGGTTTGCGGCAAATTGAGCAGCGAAGCCATGATTGTGGCATGGCGAGCAAGAAACCAAAACAAAACACTAACACTTGTCTTTGGCGACCAAACCCTTCCATCTGGTGACCAAATTTTTGGGTTAGTTGCCAGTTGGCTCCCTTAATAGGAAAAGGTTAATTTCGGACCCTGGGGGGCAACACTTATTAAAAACATTTTTATTACAAAACACTACATACATTACACTGATGTTGGTCATCAATTTTTAAGCATTGTGATGTAAATCAATGCAAAGTGGTTAATTGAATTGCATTCAGGTATCAGGCATCAGCTATTTTCTTATTCAAGTAAAACCACTGATATTGTGTGCAACTAAATTAACTACTGGTACTAATTAAAATTAAATATTACTTTTCAAATGGTTTCTTAGGACGCTCGAGACTCAGGAGGTGCAGCAATAGCAATGTTCACGGCTAGAGAACACTTTCCTGCAGCAACAAGTCACAGGACAGTCATTCAGGGTATTGCTTTCCAGTTGGATGAGTGTCTGAAAAGGTACAAATATATGCAATGGCTTTGAACTACAGTCAACCTCTCCTGATGGACACCTACATCATATGGACATCCATATGTTGTGGACAGTCCTCTTGGTCCCAGATATGGATGCAATTAATAATACAGATACTCAACTCTGTCTCTTTGGTGTCCACATTAAAGAGGTTTGCCTGCAGATAGAGCAGAGTCACAATATTGCAATCTGTCATAAGACGTTTTTTAGCAGCAGGTCATAACCTGGGAATAAAAGTTACTACAGACTTACTAGGTCATGCATTCCACTGTCAGTCCTCTCTTGATGCAATCCTGTCTTGATCTTGAAATTAAATTTCATCATACCAGATCATCTAGTTCAAATGTTGTTATTTATAGTGGTCAATGCGCTTAACTACACCTAGCAAGTTCACAGGCATGCCACTTAAACTGAAAGAATCAAACCCATCAAATACACATGCTAGGCTTAAAAAAAAAAACACTGGTGGGCTATTTACAAGCATGACCAAGGAGGTAAACTAAGGTCTACCGAGAAAAAATTCCAGCTAAGTGGACAGAGTGGGACTTGAACCTGTAACCTTCAGATTCTGTGTCCGGCACCCCAACCACTTGGCTGTGCTGCCTGCTCCTCCTGTTTTGACAGACTGATAGAAAGACATAATTAAGGGCTTGCAAATGGTACAAACATGGTTTTCTAGGCAGTAGGTTTACATCTGTCTCTTCATTTCTTTTTCAGTTGCGAAACACAGAAGAATGGCTTGGTTCTGCTGTATGATATGACGGGATCAGGCTATCATAATTTTGATTACAGTCTTGCTCGTAAAGTGATGGACCTATTAAAGGTAACACAAAAATATTATCAAAAATTGGTGCTGGAAATACTTGATTGTTTATGTTGTGGTTCGATTTTACCCTTGGCTGTAGTTTAATTTGTAAGACCTTTTGTTACATGTACCATGTCGAAAGTGTGACATTTACAATTCGAACTCCAATTCCAATCCAACCAAGATAGAGCACCCGCATGAAAACCAGCTAATCCTGATGTGGCATCCTCTCTAAATATTGTAATTTATTTCATATTTATTTATTTATTTATTTATTTATTTATTTATTTATTTATTTATTTATGTATGCATTTATTTATTTATTTATTCCTAGGGTGGCTACCCAGCTAGACTCAAGAATGTTTACATCATCTCTCCTCCCCTGTGGTTTAAAGCAGTGTTAACATTTTTCTCAAACTTCCTTCAAGAAAAACTTAAGGAAAGAATTGAAGTGGTCCCTAAAGAAATACTGCCTCAAAGATTTCCAGAATCTTCCATCCCAGAATGTTTAGGAGGAACACTCAAAGTGGACCACTTAGCTTGGTTAAACAAGTGCCTTGTGTCATATTCCCAGACACTGGCAGAAAACAGCACCCGTAATGGAGGACCAAAAGACTTTTCAAGGCATATGCCTAACAGTTATGTAAGAACTGTTGAGTCTTCAACATTTGATCAGACGGGACTAAGAAATGAAGGTGCTTTGACTGTGATGGAATTTATTGAGCACATGATGAAGCTGCAAAGGAAAGGAGTCAAGATTGAGTTTGTTAATTTAAAGAAGCAGGGAGGTGTTGGAACTTTTCAGTCAGCAAGGCAAGTACCACCAGCCTTCTGATGTTGTTTCCTCAGGTCGTAATAACATATTAATCGAGATAAAGACCATGTTGTGTGTTGAGCTTGTTATCCTTTGGTAATGCTGTTCAAAACTATTGTTGGTTATCTAAATAATGTGCAGTGGGATAGGTGTGATGATTGTGATTTGAACCATTGGTTCTATATCAGTAATATTCTGGTGATTGCACCATGTGTGACACCAAGTAACTGCCCACAATGGTGGTACTCCCTGCATTGTTTAAACCAGTGATGTTTTCTGCGATGATATAAAGAAATTAAAAATTACTGCATGTGAAGCAGGCTGTATAATTATTTGGGCTCATCACTGGTGAAATACAATACCACTCTGATCTCTCTTTATTAGTAACAATCTTTGCTGAAATATTCCCTAAGAGATTCAGGAAAGATCATTGTACTTTTAAATATATTGTGTAATTGTGTGATGAGTGTATGCATTCAAGCTGGTGTACCTCAAGTGGTTTAGAAGACATTGAGTTTATTTCAATTTACAGATTGCCAGAAAATTTGAAGAGAAATAGATACACTGATGTTTTATGTCTTGAAGAAACAAGGGTGAAGATTTGTGATCTGGATGGTGATACAGTAAGTTTAAATTTTATTGGACCTAAGCATCTCATACAGGAGGAGTTGAAATACTCTTAGCTGTTTTCTGCTACTGCACCTTTGTCTCATCAACACTGAAGTCAAAGCAGGCTCATGATCTGTACTATTAATGCACAGTCAAGGCTATAGTTCCAATGATGAGATGCATTTTACTATTATTGTCAACAGATCAGCATTTCACTATTCATACACTGTACTAATCATGCAAGACCCAGAGTCACACAGATGAAAAACCTTTAGAATGAACACATGGATGGATGGTGTTACTTTGAGGGATGAAACCTGCTTGTGTGTACCGGACAATGACTCTGCTATAGAAATTGGAATCAAGTGTCAGTGTTGATTGAGTCAACACTGAGCTCCTCTGATCCTCAGGCAGACTTTTAGACAGGATTTGAAAAGTGGGCATCCAAAATGTGCCATAGGGCTTGCTCAAATGAACAATTTATAAGGCAACATATGGATGCCTGGACGCCCATCTGGCTAAAAGCCCCTCCTCAGGAATAGAAAGCACTGAACCATTACGCTAACTTTATTACAAAGTCGTGAACAATGTGTACTCTTAGGGTAAGGTATAGCGGGGCAACATGAGGGAAATTAATTATCTCACCCAGCTAGACAACACAACACAACAACTCTTAACATGATTGTAACCTTCCTCCTTGATCTGGAGTCGCCCACTGAACATAAGGCCACTGCGCCTTTCACATTGTTGTTAAAATAATTAAATTACTAAATATCAAGTAATTCTTGTATTTCTGCAGACATCTAACTATATTCATGCAAACTTTATGGATGGGTACAAGCAGGCTAAGGCATATATAGCCACACAAGGTGAGTATATTTTGTGTATAGTGGGTCCACATCAGCCCTTCGGCTGCCAAATCCCCTCTACAACCTACTTGTCAAATAAAATTTACTTACTTACTCACTCACTTACAGCCAAACCTCCAATATTGGCCCTTTCGTGTAATACAGTAAACACCCAAATATAAGAACACATAATTTTGAGGTTTAGGCTGATCTAGTTCTTATTTATCGTGTGCTTATAGTCAGAAATCAGCCTGAAGATGTTCTTAATATGTTCTTAAACTTTGTTTCAGAAATACTACACATGACATGTTATTAGAGGTTTAGTTGTATACTTTATTATAAATAAATAAGTAAGTAAGTAAACAAATCAGTAAATCAATAAATGAAATAAAAATCTGTCAGGTAGTAAACTAGTTAACATTAACGAGTAGAAATGTAACATTAGTTTCAACGTTTTTTAGATATTTCTTACAGTCATGCTGACTCAACCAGGGCCACCATTGTCTAGCAGCAACCGTAGTTACATTGCTTCCTTATTTTAACACCCTCTCTCTCGTTATATAAGAACATGTTGTATTTATAAGACCAAACTGGTTCTTATATATATGGTGCTTTATGGGCCAAATTTCAGCCTGATGTTCTTAATCCATTTTTTTTAATACGTGGGTGTTTACTATATTTCAAATAAGAAAGACAGTGTTTGACCACATTTCTAAACATCAAGAAGAGAGTTGAAAACACGATGCATAGTGGAGTATTTTTGACGAGCTTCATGTGGTCAAAGTCCGTCTTGAGTGTCAATCGAAAGTAAAACTTAGGAGAAAACAGAGAAATGAAATCATAAAATCTATGGTAATCAAGATCAGATATACAAACACCATCATGGTCATTATTCTCTTTGTTTGAACATGATGAATTATTAATGAGTTTGAGAAGTGGTATGGACCCACATTCTCAAAACATACATGTAACTTGTTTAATAGATAATCCAAAACATTATTGATCAGTTACTTATTGCTGTTTCATTATGCTATTGGTTAGGGCCCCTTCCCCAGACTGTAGGACATTTCTGGCAGATGGCCTGGGAACAACAGGTTTATGTCATTGTCATGGTAACAAGGTAAATAAATCTTAACTGAAACCCTGGAATTTATTGATGCTGAAATCATTGTTCTTTTGTTTTTTTGGAAGCCAAGTGTGTTTCTTAGCAGTCTATGGTACTGATAAAAATTTTAGAAAATTATAATTTCTGTTAAAAATCCCTCAAGTACTTAACAGCCATTGTGACAATTGGCACTTTATCATTGACCATTTGAAAGGTATTCATTAGATTACTGAATTGTGTAAATCATGAATGACAAAACTAAGGGAAGCTATTGATTTCATAGAAGATTTCAACCATGAAAAGAGAAATGTTTGTCAATGAGTATATCATTTGCTTTATCCTGCATGCAGTACGTAACATAATTATTATTATATACTTTAGGTCATAGAAGAAGCAGTCTATATTCGAGTGAAAAAAAGAAAAAAAAACCTTTATTTAAACACGATAAGTAATTAAGCTTGCAGCTTGTAGGGTTGTGTGTAAATTGAGTTTGAACTTTTTTTATGTTTACGTGTGTATCACAACTCTGTGTTTGCAAGACGAATTCATTTCCATTCAGTCATTGTCCTATTTATTCTGAAAGGTGTATTGAAAGAGGTCGCATGAAATGCATCCAGTACTGGCCAGAGAATCAGGAAACACGACAGTTTGCAACTGTAGATGTGTCGCATGAAGAAACATTGGAATTTGAGGATCATGTTGAGAGGGTTTTCTGGATAACACATAAAAAGGTAAGTAATGAATATCTTCATGGTTTCAATCAAAATTACCTTTTTGATAGAAAAACAAGAAAGAGAACAATTATTTTAATGCCAGAAGTGGATTTATCGTACTCAAATTGATTGTTTCATTTTCGATCAGCAAATATTATGTAACAAAATGCTTGTCACATAAACACTGCTTGCTTTTATTTTACCTTGTAAGTTTCTCTGTGTGTTTCTTTCAAAAGAGGAATAGTGTGTTTACTGGTACACAAAAATCTGGGTCATCGCTTCATGAAAACTTAATTATAACAGATTTCTGTTTACACATTGCAGGCATTTCTTATTGTAAATTTATTAAGCTACTGAAAATACTGCCTTTAAATCACAATCGAATCTTTGATTTTAATGCACTGCTTTTGTCATCCATGGGATATGGTTGGATACATGTATGTTTAGGGTGTGCTTTGAAGATCAGCTTGACAACCATAAAAACTGTTGTAGAAAAATTATATGTCAAAAGCTTGACTTGCACTCCTCATTCCCCTTCTTCTTCTCCTCTTTTCAAAAAGATGTTTGAAATACACAGTTTGTTCTTAACCTACAGTTTGCTATCAAATGATGTACTGATGTACTACATGTATTCTGTTAATGATGTTCAAATTACAAGCCTCACAAATTTCAGATCTAAAATTGCCTCTGTTGTAATAACCATGCTCTTAAAGAAAGGTGCAGCATCTTCCATATTAGGCCTCCTATTGCAGAGCTCAATGTTCATTTCATGTCTTTACAGTAAACATGAAGACTTGATTGATTGAACTCCATATATGTTATTGAATGTCTAGGCTTCCATCTCATGGGTACAAACTTTGTGGCTTCCGTTTATTCCTCCCTCCATTAACTACAGAGTCAACTGAAAAGACCTCATTCTTAGACTTGCTTGAAATCATTTCACTTTAACATTTCTTGTCACCAACACCTGGACTTTTTTTACCCTAGTCAGGAGAAAAGCGGAGAATAGTTCATTTTCAAATGACATCATGGCCTGATTTTGGGGTGCCTTCTTCAGCGGAATCCTGTCTCCATGTTGTTGGTCTTGTTCGTGAAGCTCAAACTGATGCAGTGCAAGCCTTAGGGCCTAAATGGAGGGGACATCCTAAGGGGCCTCCCATTATAGTGCATTGCAGTGCAGGCATTGGTCGTACAGGGACCTTCTGCACTATTGATGTTAATGTGGCACGTTTGACTGATGTGGGCGAATGTGAGGTGTTTAACACAGTGAAGCAATTTAGGACTCAGAGGGCCCTAACTATTCAGACAGTTGAACAGTACGAGTTTTGTCACTTGGCCATTTTAGAGCATGCATTGAACATGCCAAGTACAAGGCAAGAAGAAAAAGAGGCCATCAGAGATTTTTTGGAAGGGTGGAAAATGCAGCGAAGAGATTCCAGCGACACTGATTAAATCACTTAGAGAGCCTCTCAGATGTGCTCAAATAGAGTTGAGTGTATTCTTTTGTTTCATTTGCAATTATTATTAAGTTGCATGTAAAAGCCTATACAGTACTTTTGATGTGAGGTAAAATTAATAATAGCAAATTGACTCTAGAATGTTTGTTTAGCACAACAACATTAATTGTTATTATTGTTGTTGTGCTAAATTGTTGTTGTGCTAAATGGTATTACAGGTAATTATTACATGTAATACCCAGGCTAAGATGTTTAAAACTCAGTTGTTTTAATCCAGGATTAGTGTGAATATTTTTTGATTTCAGTCTTACATCTGTTCAGTAATTGAGGTTTTCTATTTGTATCTTCTTTTGTTTAGTTTTGATGCTGAATAATATGTATTGATCACCACAAAACACTAGCAATATGAAACACTTGAAAATGTACAAGAGGAAATAAACCAAATTTTAATCCTGGATTAGCATTAGTGAGCTTTTGAACAACTCATGCCAGGATTACATAAGTCAACTGGTATTCTCAAGAGAGCAATATCCTCTGCAGGTTATTTTCAATGGTTTTCATTCTCATAACCTGTTCACTTGTCAATTTAGTGATATTGTAAAGAGAAATTACAATTGTAAGTGTCGATAAACTCCTTAGAATTGAAGGGTTTTAAAAATTTTCCATAAATTTTGTAATAATGAATAATAAAATGTCCCAGGAATTACACTTGCCTTGACTGGTCAGCTCAAGCACGAGTACTACGTCTTGTTCATGTTTTATCAAGTTATAATGCACATGGCCTATGTCACGAGTTTGAGTGCAAGTGGCTTCTTGAGCATTTTCGAAGTATTATAAGCACTTGTTTATTTTTAGCAAATGTTCTAGGGAAGTGTAAGAAGCACTTGGCTGAGCCTCATGCCTCATTGCTGTGCACATTTTTATATTCTTAAAAATTGCTGTGCTTATTCAACTCAGCACAATGTCTTGCAAGTGTAAACTCCGCCCTTATTTTATTATTATGACAGGTAGAACGATCAAAACTTCTTCAGCTCTAAGAACCGATTTCGTAAAATTTCTTTGGTATTTATGAATTTTTTAGGAAAACATTAAGTTTCTCTGACTGATATATAATATTATTATGATAAATAATTATCATTAAATTGCAGTATTAACCTCTTGTTTAAGTTAAAAACATATTGAAAGTCATCAGGTCTCAATAATTTTTTCACAAAATTATGAAATTTATAAAAATGACCAGTTTTCAATTGTACATACATGTATATTAATTAATTAAATTGACTTTCATATTTTAGAATAGTTTAGTACATTCTTTTTACTGAAAATATTGTTGATGTCAATACAGTAATTTATTAGCAATAATAATTATTATTGTTCTATTGTACGATTGTGAACAATCCCTTATTTAAAAACCTGAAGGTCAACATCTTGGATTTGTAGAAGCTTTACATTTTACAGGTCTAGGAACAGAAGTCTGTTCATCTGTTATCATGTTACCCATTTTCAAAAATTTCGGCCAGCATTGCTGAGATATTCAAATAATATTATTTCTAAGAAATGATGCAATAATTACATTGTAGAGTGTTGTTCACTCTCTGACAATGTGCTGTTTTAAACATGGTTTTTGGTTTGATGAACACGTTTTGGGTGCAGGCTAGCTGGCATCATGTATAAATTATAATACCTATATAGTGGTGACTGTCTTTTGTGGTCACATTCTCCATCTGACTAAACTTGGTTACTTTAGTATTGTAAGTCACAGACTTAATGACATACTGTAGTCAAGATGTAGTTAGTGTTACAGTCGAACCCCTTTTAAGCAGCTATCCTCAGGGAAATGGGAGGTGGCCACTTAATAGGGGTTGGTGTACTTTAAATATTTTGTTACCATCAAGTTAATTCCTTAGTGAAACTGGAATCACGTCAAGAGAATTGTGATAAACGTATATTTGAATGTTTTTATCAGTCGTCCCATTCTATTTCGGACTCTTATCTGTTATCGTCTTTTCTAAAACAAGGCAAACTACTTGACTGTGGCCATTTAATAGGGATAAAGACAATAAGAAAACCCTCATTGGGACGACCAAAAGGTGGCTGCAGCCACTTAATAGAGGTGGCCGGTTAATAGGGGTTTTTATAGAGTATTTTACTGACAATGATTTCGGAACTTCAACAACTGGCCGCTTAATAGAGGTTCAGCTGTATTCATATAGTGTGGTGTTTTTATGGAGTTATGTGCGATAGTGGAGTATTGTTAAATTGGAGGCTTCATCCACATATAAATGTACAGCTCACTTCAAAAATGTAGATGTGTCAAATGGATGAATTTCTCTTTCAGGTGTGAAAATTACCTATGGGAAAACAATATGTGGTTTTAAAAACTTTCAGTATGGACAACTTTAGCCAAAAAGTTCATATTTAGTGAAATCAGTCACCATTTTTCACAGTAATGAATTAAATTCATGTATAGATCTAGGGCTTAGAAATTGATGTATTTATTAAAATGTGGTTTTGTATTCAAATAGCAATAAAAAAAATAACAGTTGTAGTGAAGTTTGAAAAATGTGAATCTGTCCACTTGTGTCTGGGGTTGAATGCAGAATCCCACCAAATTGGGTGCGTGGATGCGAAGTCTGTTCTAGGCTCACAAAATGTGTGGACAGTTTAAAAACATGGGTGAGCACGAATCAAATAATCCTAGCTGGATTAAATAGGTTCAGCCCCTGCTTGGGTCCTGCTTGTTAGCATTTTCTACCACATCTTCTTGAACAAGACCAGTTGATAGTGTTTACTGTTTACAAACAATTATTATTGGATGAGGTTTTTGTGATATCCAGAATAATCAAGGTTGAGGTAGGGGTTGTTAGCCGAAGCCAAAGGCTGAGTCTGATAACCCTTACCAAAACCTTGATTATTCTGGATATCACAAAAACCGAATCTAATAATTGTTTTATTATACATTGAACGCAAAAAATGGAAGTCATGTTTCTGCTTCTTCACTGACGGCAAGCAACACAAAACACGCGAACTTGACATGATTACCCATGACCTTGAGTGTCCTTGACATGATTATTGTATAATCTGCAGAGATGACGTCACAAACACTGATTTCAAAAATTCACTGTACGCTTTCCACCAATCAGAAAAGAGATAGTGAGTTCAATGTATAATAACAACTAATGAATGACAGTAGAACTTCTTCTTGTAGTCCCGATGTCTCCAACCCAGCCATTCTTTAGGCTTGTCACGCCAATGCTACCTCACCTGCAAATAGGTCTGTACATACTTTGATCTTCTTTGTCCAGTGTAGGATGGCAACAGCAATCCCAAATCCAGTTATCCCTGTTGTGCACAGCATGTGCCTTGCCCCATGTGAGTTTTACCTCACTGAGCTCAGCCATGACGGTTCAGCACCAGGTAATTTTAGGGTGACCAGGTTTCCTTTTGCCAGTTGGTGTCCGTCAGAAGGAAACCCTAGCAATACGAACCTAATCCATTTTAGGTATGTCACACAGCCATTGGACTCAGCAGAGGTCTGTGATGAGCCCAGCCACAACTTTGGAGAACAAAGAGGAAGCAGCTTGCAAGCGTGGGGCTATTTTTCCCTTTAAACTGATCAACTTTTTTTAATACCATACAGCTTTATGAGAAAACAATCTGCAGGTATGCTTTTGCTTCAATGTAACGTGTATTCTGGGTGTGCTCATTTTAGAAAGGGTGCTTAACTGAAGGGGACAACATCTGTCTGGCCTCTCAGGCAGGAGGAAGTCAAATGAGCAAAAGTGATGCAAATGATAAGAACACTAGAGGTAAACAGATCAAAGACAGAAGTAATATGACCATAGTTTTTTTTATTAAGAAAACTTCTCAAAAAAATTCTCAAATTTATAGCAAATAGAATCGTTTCATAATTATTAATAGCAAATTATTAGGTGGCACTTGCACACATCGCGACTGGATTATTCACACATTATCATCAGCTCATGGAGAACATTGTTCTTCGTAGTAAGTACAAATTTAAGCCTTAATTAAGTTAAACATGCCTTATTCCTAATCACAATAGAACCCAATTTTTCACATTACAGTCATACACAATAAATAGAACACTATAATGTAATAGGCTCAGGCAAAAAAATATTCCAGGAAGGATATTTCTTTGAACAATGCAACTGGGCATGTACAAAGAACCCTTTCCTATTTTCTTAAAGTTTATCCCTCCCCTTCCCAAATAAATTATTATTTCACATTTAGGTATTGTATAAATAGTTGTCTGATGTTCTGTATGTTACAATTTCCTTACACATATTAATATAATTTACTTGATTACGAGTAAAGAATTTTTGAAAAGGTCAATAAAATCACAATTTTTCCCCTTGCAAACTGCAATGGAGTCATTTTCATTAGTTTGTTATTTTTTCTCTTTTTTTTAATTAAAGAAATGACAAAGTGTTGTCAAAATATATGAAACCTAGCATGTGAGCTTATGGGAAGCTGAAGACAATATCGATGAAATTAAATGAGATACTGGTAATACAATATTTCTACAGTATGTTTTTACCTAACATAACCTTTGTTAATATAAATTGCTTTACGGCTCTAAATGCTAGATCTAAAATTTAAAAAAGTTATATATTTTTAACACAATAAATATGGTTTAAATTTGATGCATACAAGACAAATTACACACAACCTCATTTGGTAATAGTTAAATAACTAAAGGAACAACTTATGCAAGGTTGTTTGATCATTCAAGACCATTGGTCTCAAAAACAAACATCAACCAGAGGGATGGATGAAGGCACTTGTGGAAAAACTGACAGGGTGGCACCAGGAAGAAGTCTCCCATTAAGCCAATAAAATTTTAAGAACACTCTAAACCCACCAATATTTCATAATAAAACATATTTGATAAAAACCAAAAGATCCTCCCAACAACAGTAGAAAATTACTAACACACATTTATATGCCAAAGAAAAAATGAAAAACACCAAGACTTTCCTTGTACCTCCCAATAATTTTTCCCTACTGACCACTCAAAAATAACACAAACCAAAAGGGCCATTGAAAACATTTTTCTTACAAGTAAAACTGACATTTTCTTTTAGATAGCCCTTGCTAATTACACTATCTAAAAAAGCTGATGACATACTAGCACGTTGCAGCTCAAAGAACTTTTCGTGGTCTTTAATGTCAACTGGTTCATTCAAGGACATTTGGATTTTGTAAGCAGCAGCCAAAGTTTCAAGTCCCTCTTTCCTGCTAGTTAAACCCAACCGTTCTGATACATCATTACAATGTTTCCAATCGTCAAGCACGGGATCTTCAGGCTCATTCATGATGTCCTTCAGAGACAGAATATCATCTGCAGAGTCTCGTGTCTCCACAATTACTTCTTGGAGAACAACAGGTTCTTGTTCGGTGACATCAAAAGAGCTGCTATCACTGTCAAATGAGAAACACTCTTCTAAAATCCAGCCTTTTAAAGCGTCTTCCTCAAAGTCTCCAACTTCATCCTCAATATGGAGTGGTTCAAAACAGACTGGCTCATCTGACGGGAATGAATATTGCTGCAAGTACGGGTGTGCCAGAGCTTCTTCTGCAGTGATTCTCTTATTTGGGTTAAACCTGAGCATTTTCACCAACAGATCAAGAGCTGTAACAAAAATAACAAACCAAAAATCAATGCACAATTATTTATTGATTAAGGAAAAAAGAGAAAATTAATTACAGCTCTAAAATCTCTTTACTGAAGCATGATTTAGATGTAAGACAGAAGACAACTTACAATGTATCGGTAAATGTATGCACTTATTTTGCATAAATAAAGAAGCAGTTGAGCACTACAAGGTGCACGAGGACAAGCATGGAGCCCTAAAGTATTTCAAAAATGTTGGAATTTTGAGTGGTGAACTGTAAAATTAATGTAAATTTTATGTGTGGCATTCTTTTGTTTTGGAGTGGCAATGTAATATCCTTGTTTCCATGGCCATGACTGATATGTTGTCAACAATGACTCATGCTTAATAAGTGACAAGTGGGCCTTTGTAACTTTGGGGCATGATTTTCAGCATGTTATTAGCATCTTAACAATGCTGGCAATCCAAGTTATCCCTAATCCTATTGGCTCAAAAATTTTAACGTAGGACACTTCTTATGCCAGGCTACAGAGACATCTCACAAGTGGTCTTGAGAAACCATAAAATTAATTATATGGGTTTCTGTTTGAAAGCTCAGTCACTAAGTAAGATTGGCTCCTGCTACTTTTTTCAATCTTTTATATTAAACATTCAGTTGAAATTAGATAAATTAAAAAAAATAATAATTTCGCCTTCCTCTCAAGTCTAATTACTCGCTGCTGGCGTGATTTTTAATTATCTGTTGGGCGTAGATTACATTTCGATGAAAAACATTTTTTCAATACGCATTTGACTAGAAGGATCGAGAACAGAATTTCACTTGCAGCCGTTTCAGCTCTGAAGCGAAAAACAAAACAATCACTTCAATAAACTTGAACTTCACACACAAGTAACATTGGGAGATTTGGTTACGGTTCGTTCATGAATAATAGGCTTAATGCTAAATTTAGAAATGTTCTGATAGAAGGGCGAAATGAAATAGATCGAAATCGACCAGCGACTTTCTCACCGTCTTAAAATTCTGCTCTATCGATGCCTTAAAGGATGACTTTCTACCGATTTGAAATTAACTTCGACGAAGAAACATTCTGAAATGGTAAAGGTCCGTTTACAATAATCTTTTGTTTACATTTCCACTTACAAAAATGTCATGAAATATGTATGAGGTGTCAAAGTACAACTTTTTATAGTCGCGCGATACATGCGAAATATCAGGCAGAACGGTATTGAGAACGACTGAGAAATACATAAGCCATTAAGGTCAAGATTTAACAAGGACACAACTATTGCTTTCGAAAATAAAACTAAAGATCAAAACTTAAGCTCGGAGGAGCTGACAAAAAAAAAACGGAAAATGGTAATTGTTACGTCATGGCGTCGCGCTCCCTTTGCGGGCATACTAATGAATTTCACTGTTTACATCGACTCAAGTCGTCAACAAAAGCCGGTCTTACCTTGGATATCGATGTGAGGAAACTTGCTCCCTAGCGGCATTCCCTGATTCTGCGCCTTTCTAAGAGCTGTTTTCTCCGGAATTTGAGGTTCAAGTACAGTCCATTCTTCCTCAGTTAGGCCAACAGAGTCTAAAATAACTTCCATTTGGTCGATTTCGTGCCGGCCCTCAAACAAGGGTTTGCCCAACAACATTTCGGCAAAAACACAACCGGCAGCCCAAATATCGACTGAACTGTCGTAACTTGATGAATTCAACAGCAGTTCAGGAGACCTATACCACAGAGTTGAGATGCTATGCGTTAGATGGCCGTTGTGCGAGTAAGCCGGGTCGAGAATTCGCGAACGCCCGAAATCGCTTACACGGAGGAGCAGTGTTTCAGTGTCAACTAAAATATTACTTGGTTTCACGTCCCGGTGTACTACGTTAGCAGAATGGATATATTTGAGCCCTCGTAACAGTTGATAAAGGAATAATTTGACATAGTCTTCTCTAAGCTTGCCTTTGCTTTGCAAGATATGATGTAAGTCAGAGTCGACCAGTTCTTCTACAAGAAACAGTTCAGTCGCTTCTTTGACAGATTCAGTCGAGCTTTCTTGAAATTCCAGACCCTCAGAGTCCACAACTTTCGTTAACTTCACGACGTTTTCATGTTCGAGAGTCTTTAATACCTTGATTTCTCTAAGAGCTGCTCTACAGTTCATGCGGTCCCGTAAAATAAGTCTTTTCAGAGCAACCCGTTGGTCTGTTTGGACATCGATGGCAGAATAGACCGCGCCACTTCCCCCGGTTCCCACAAGTTTCGTGTTCGTGAAGTTCGGGCCAAGAAAGTCCGAGTTCCCTTCTTCTGACATAGTGGATACCTTCGAGCAGTCGAAGTCACTACCAAGGCTCCAAGGAGAGAATGAGTTGTTACAAGGGTACACGCGCTTTATTAGCCATCCACGCACTTACTCTGAGCCGCCGCCAAATTTTTTTTCCTCGACAATCGGTTTTGGCCGAGTTATTTACCGGTCAACGTGTTCCAACAGTATTATCTAACACTACGTGTGATTGGCTACTGCATAAGAGTGTGATCGAGCTAGAGCTGTGATTGGTCAAAGTTGAACTATTCATCTGACAGACACATGCATATGGAGCACATGACAGCCCTGTGGTTGCATCAGCCAGTCAGGCTGAAGTGACTCATTTGCGACACCTTCATGTCACATGATTCTCCTTACGTAATAAGCAGAAGAGACACTCGAGCATCCAAATTTATTACATAAGGTATATTTCTTCGATTTTAGCAAATATCACACCCTTAAAATAATATTTCTCATAAAACGACAAGATATTATTTCGTGAGTTGAAGAAAATCCTGACTGAAATGGATGCACGCACTGACGCACGCGAAGCTCTTGAAACGTTATTTACATTTCTCAGTTACCAGTCTTTCCGGTTCCTATTACAAAACACTGCATGCAATACATCATAATTATTGTGGGCTGATAATCGGTTACTACGTTGTCTTCGCTCTGGGTTAGTTTTCTGCCAACCCACAGGATCATTTAAACGAATATAATAAAAGTATTAATTTTTTCATTTTTAACTTCCGTTGTGAGGAAATTTCTTTAACGTGTGGACAGGAACATTTGAGGAACAAGGAAGACTTTGATAGTGTCGATAGTTTTGAGTTTCGATAGTGTGCAGAACAGTTTAAACACAAAAAAATAAAGGAAGTTGGAGTGCTTAAAAAGTGAAATTAGTCAGATGACGTGCGTAATCTTAGGATTTCCAGTTTTACAAAGGATCCGTAGGAGTAATGACGGTAGCAACTATAAACAGTGCGAAGAGAGCGTCATTCGCCAAAGAATGTCAAACCAGCTGCCTCGGACTTTATAATTATAGTACAGCTAATTAAAATTTCACACAACTGCTTCTAAAAAAAGAAAAGCAATAAAAACAACCGAAGTTATTGATCAGGAGAGTGGCTTTTCTGACGAGTCGCTGTCTCCGGTAACGTAGGAGCTATATAATATTATCGACGGCGAAATGAAAGTTTCCCACGAGACAACGAATGAACAAACATTCTGAAAAAAGCGCACGGTTCAAGGTTAATAGACTCAAGGTGGGCGAGATTCTAATTTCTTTAAAACCACAAGAATGACTTCTCGAAACCACAAAACCAACAGAATAAAATTTGACGGGTCCTCTACGAAGTTTCCGGCACCGACAACTGACTGATCTGTCGCGAAGAACTAAAACTACCAATATGTGGGTGGCTCAAGGTTTCTTTTTACACGGTTACGCGCAGCTTTTCCGGCAAAATATCTCCATGTGTGGACTGTTATCGTATTCAAGCTGATCCAAGCTGGTGGCCTCTAAGGATGCGGGCACTATGCTATCACGTGGGGACGCAAGCTTTTAATATTTTAGAAGTTTCTTACGCGATAAGAAACGAAGATAAGCAAATTGAAAGTTCAGAAATACACTTAAAAAAGTATGAATTCCCAATATACACGACTCATCGAAACTGTAGTTTAACTCTACTGAGAAAAAATGTTTGGAACGGTTGTGATAGCCGCTCATCCCAAACAAGAGGTCAAGCAATTCTGTCGAAAATTTCAATTATTTGACTGAAGGATAAAATCATTTAGGCTTTTAATTTACCGAGAATCTTTATTTGGCTCTCGTATCGCTTCATCTCCCAAGCTGCAAATTAAATTTGTGGCGTACATTTTTTGTTTTGGAAGCTGATTGATAAGTCCAAGTAGCTGTCCGCTAGCTACATTAATTTAGAAAGCAAGAGTCCACATCCTTCTGGAAGAACACCAAAAAAAAAAATGAATTAATTTTTTTCAAAACATATTGAGACGGTCTGCTGCATTAAGTGAAATCTTTTGTTTTCAAGTCAGTCTACCGTAACAGCTAAAACTTTGATCCTTGCATGTAGAAATCATGAGTAATTTTGGAAAAGTAATACGTTATACCAGTCGGTGTTCATAAAACCACTGAGAATATTTATCAAGGAGTACTGAGGAACTGGTAATAAAAGCAAGCCTTCAAAACCAGGAGAAACTTATTTCAAATTGATGAGCTGTTTCACCTGATCGAACATTTGTTGCAACGTAGTTAAAAACAGTTATCTAACTCAGTATGACTCAGCAGACCGGGTCGGAGTTTAATTTGAGATGTCGATGGCTTTCCGGAAAAAAATTGCTCTCTTAATTTTCAATCAATTTCGTACCTTTCATTGAAAGAGTTTCATAAGACCGCTAAACGGTGAAAACACTCGCGGTTTTTTTTCTTCTTAAAGTTATTGTTATTGATTTTCTAAAGATCCTGCAAACAACAGTCTGTTTTTTAAAGGGGTCGTGACCAACGTGAATCTGTTTAAGACTTTGATCACCACGGAGCATAAGTTGTCCAGCTGGCCAAAACCCAACGATGCTTAGTAGAGATACCATCAATGGTGACGATGAATTTAGCGAGATTTATGACCACTTCACGCGATAGATATTACTCTGTATTCGACCCTATTTTGGAGTCTGCTGCCTGCTTGACTATGAACGTCAAAGCTATCGAGTATGGGACTAGAATAAAACTACAAAATCAACATTGCCGGCCATCCTCTTCAGGTCTCTGATCAACATCATGATATTCTTCAACTACCTGCTGCAAAAACAACTTATCCTTGAGGGGCCTTGAGGGGCGTTCAGCATCCGTTGGGAACCCGCGGTCCTATTTTGGCCTAGAATGAGAGGAAAATGACGTAAAGCCTAGAGTACGCGGTTTACTGTTTTCGTACAGACTTCGGGTATATTTGGAACACTTTCCCACATCACTTTATCGACTCTTTTTTCAACAACGGCTGACAAAAAAAAATCGTGTTTTTTTTTAAACAACGGCAGACGGACAAGAAAAAAAAATCGTGAACTCAGAGTGCGAAGGGCAAAGCTATTAAATCAATAAGTCTGTTACATAATTAATCTTACATAACCATGGACTCATGAGGATGCACGTGCGCCTAAAAACGTTTGTATTCACCTGAGTGACATTAGTCACGGAAACGTATGACTGGAGTTGGGCAAACATTACCTCACGTGAAGCAGTGATCATCGAGTGCCAAAATCGAGCTCGAAGTTGAGTTGGACCTTGACTCGAAGTGCAACTCAGTCGAAGTGCAACGTTGAATCAGTGTTAGAGAACGAGAGTACAATGAGCAAAGAAAATTAACTGTAAAACTTACTGGTCAGTTACTGTCGTTACTGAATTGTGAACCAGGGAAGGAGGGGCTGCTCCCATTCGGAGGAGCGAGCGATATAGGTTTGTGCCACGAAATGGCGTATGGAATTGGAGGTTCTCAGTTCTCAAATTAAACCTGGTATCCTTTTAGGAGGGTATTCCTAAGATAGGGTAGCGGGGGGAGGATGTACACAGGCTAAAGATAGGTTTCCTTAACTAGGCGCCCAGCTTGAACGAAAACGTTATGTATGGTCCGTTAAAACTGAAATGCCTGGTGAGCTGCGTGAGAATTTCTGCTAAATATACAAAATAAAAAATAAAAACGGACGGCCTGTTGACTCAATTCTTAGCTATCACTTTTGTCTTTCCGATTATATATATTTTTTTCGATTTTTTACTGACTGGGAATTCCCAGGATTACGAAGAAAAAGCAAAGAGAGTCGATGCCTACGACATCATAGAGTTTGGCTTTTACTCGGTACTTGAAGCTTGCAACTAAAAAAATGAGTTTAAAGTAAAAGGTTGAACAATTTACAACCAATAACAATGATATGCCCTAAACAGCAACAAATATTCTTAATATCAGTAACTGTCCGATATAGAGTTAATTGCAACTAAACACTCCGCCACTCGAAAGATTAAAGGTAAACTACCAAATAGTCATTATGCTTGGGCAAACTCTTAAATTCAGCAACTGCCCAATATAAAGAGCTCTAACGTTAATTGCAGAATACTCCTCCGTTCCAAAGGTTACGATATTGTCAGAATACATGCAAAACGATTATTATTCAAATTGTGTGAACTAATATAGGCTTCGCGACCTTCATGTGGACACTACTTCACTTTTTGAAGCCTGCTGTGCTCTCAACTCCAGATAGCTGGTGCCTCACATGAAGCGACTACCTGTGTACTTCAAAATATATTTTAAGCTACTTTAGATCTGATCAAAGGAAAAGGAAAGCCGGCTTAAAAATTCTTTACCAGCGTCCAAATGGACGAATTTATTCCAGGGGCGACTTATCCGGCTGAACCGGGGACTGGACTGGCGGATTATTTCATCTGTCGGATATCATGCCAGGCGAAAAACGAATCCCACCTACCCTGTATATCCTACAATCCTAAAAAAGACTATAAAAGTAATATAGCCTAAAACTTGTGCCTTCACCTAGGCACGCTCAGGTTTGTAGCGAAAGAACGAAGACCGGCAGTATAGATGGAGCGCAAGTTGCAGGCTAAGCTGATCGCAGGTTATAATTTAGAGACGGATTATCCTTAGCTATCCTTGTGGGAGACAATTAACTTTTCAGTAGACGAATCAAGCCCAGATTACAACAGTAAAACCGAATATATTTTTTGATCTACTTTGTCACATCCATAGAGAATAAATATTAAATGGCGCCAATTTATCAACAAGATGCAATAATGTTTTGGATCTGGAGCCATAAATATACTGTTAATAACATGTTGCAGCGCTGCCTAGCAACCGTTGTAAGGTTTGCCGCGCTTGGGACAATACGTTATCACAAGTCATGCAATGTTGCGTTATGTGATGAAAATAGTCACGCAAGTTTTTAGGTGACGTCTTCTCAGGCCCCAATCTCCGTGAGGCGCCCGGGATCTCGTGGATCTGAGTTCACGTTCCGATCCGGTGAGCTGGTCATTTCGTTGTCCTCGTTTTACTAGAGAGATGGTAGGAGGAAGAACCATTATATGAACACTCAACCACTGCGCTTGAGAAAGTGCGAAAACATTGTAAAAGTATTTT